ATCTACAAGGCCGTGTAATTTGTCAACCTTAGGGACAGGGATACCTGATGTGAGACATCTGAGCGTCATCCTCGAGCGTTGTTTACTAACGTGAAGGTTTTTCAGTTTTTTCCTATCTTCTACTACAGTTTTGGTCCCATTCTTTTCAAATTGGTGTCGTCGGAAAGATGTTGTAAACGCGCACAACTCTTGCGTGGCGGAATTTTGTTTTTTGTCCTAGGGGCGCAATTAATGACCTTTTGCAAGGCGCGCGCGCGCGTCTTCGAGAGGTAGTCAACTTCGGGCGCCTACTTACCTTCCGTTGCGAATTTTGTCACGCGGTTTAACGTTTCGTAAATCTCAAATCGCTGTCTCTCTTTCTCGTGTCGCAAATAGAAGCTCGAGCAATGAGAAGTGCCCCAAAAATTAAGTACTATCTTGGTTTTTAGCGAAATCCACCAAAATGTGGGTGTAATATAAGTATGCACAGAAAAACGAAATGTGGCAGCCTCCGACAAGATCTAACTGATGGTGGAGTCAAAACTTCAAACGCGAATTGCGGGTGAACGGGACGTCGGAAGTAGGTACCGTCAAAGGGAATGTGATAGCCCCCGACACGACCTTACTGATGGTGGAGTCAAAAGTGGCTAATAGAATACTGATCTGCCACACCAAAATGCGCTGAAGTCTCTTCGATCTTACACGAGGACTTTGACAATTTTTTTAGAGTTTTTCTATTAATTGTACTTAAACTAATTGCCAAATGTAAGTGCTATTGCGCGTAAACATGAATAAAGATATTATTATTATTATCAAAACAGATTCGGATTTTAGGCATTGTTGCAGTTATATCACATTTCATTTCGCTGCACATGTGTCGTTGATTGTACCTAATAATTTACTTATAACACAAATTTAGCTTGTACCAGATACATATGTTATATACCTAGAGAAAAATAAAACACTGTTCAAGGTATCTTTTTTTTAATTACTTTTCCGCGCCCATATACAGGGTGTCTTAAATTAGGATAACATTGGTTATCTTTGTCATTATTATACTTACAGATTCGGTTAAATTGGCACTTGTATAGTTTTTGATGTTGATCAATATTCTGGCGCGATTTTTAGAAAGAAATTGTAATTGGTTTCGTATATAATTGGAAAAATGACGTGAAAATCGCCATTTTAAAAAAGGTCAAATATTTTAGTAACAAAAAGAGCTATCGAAAAAAGTTTCAAATAAGATTCGATGGGATAAATTTAATGGATGTAGAAAATTTTTTTGTAAATGGCGGTTTTTCACCTTATTTTAAATAGACGCCATATTGGATTTTTACATCACCCGATAGACAAAAAAATTACAAAACCAGTTATACTAAACACTTAAGTATTTCATTTGAGAATCGACCTTGCATTTTTGCGCTGACATTAGCTATTTTACCTGCAAAATGAGTTATGAAACAGTTATAATCAAAAGGTAACAGTTGTGAATGGGAAGACATTGTTTTCTTTATGGAACAATTATCGTTTACGAAATATCAATTTTTTATAAACAAATTGCAGCTTTCGATTACGAGCATGCTCCCGTGTAGGCCCACTAAAAAAATGAAGAAATGGAATGGAAATTAATACATCAATTTGTAAAATAATAATTAATTAAAGCGATACATAAGGAACTAAATCGACTCACAGTTATCCTGTATTGACAATACGATTAAGTGTCAATCAATTATAAATAATGGCGAAAGCAAATTAACGTGGATATTTAAATATTTCAAATTGCGTTTTACAAATAACCCTTTTGTTTTTATTGGTAGTGAATTGGGGGCGTAGCGCATTATATATTCATTACAGAACGTCATTATATAAGCAACTCACGCTACATCAATTCAATCTTGTAAACGATGAAAGATGATAGTAAGTACTTTCGTACAGAAAGACTCTTTTTTAGAGTTGGTGGTATTTCTCTTGGGGGAAAGGAAGGATTTGTTTACAAGATATATTCGAGAATTGTTGTACTATCAGTTTTCATTGTATATCCCATTATTTGTACTGTCGATTTATTGAGAAAAGATTTTAACGAATCGGCGAGTGACTGGTTCTACACTCTGGTATCCTTAATGGGTGAGTATATAAAATATTTATCTCTTCCCTTTTGCATCATTTGAGCACATGCTCTAACGGGTAGTTAAAAACTTTAAAATTTATCAAATATGGGTTCCACCGACTTGCTTAATCCATCGGAAAACTATTTGAACTCACCTTATGATCCTCGCAGGGATATAATTTGAGTTTGTAATGCTCTTTGACCCAGGAAATCTGATCCAATCCATTCAATCTTGTCATAGGAAGTAACCACTTAATCTCGTCACCGTAATAACTTATGGTTTCCTGATTGAAAAAATTACCCTAGGACAAGGTCAACTCTCTTTGGTAATTACAGCTCCTTTTTCCTTCTCTCTTTCCTTGTCGAAATTCGGTATAGATATTTCTAAATACGAGATAGATGCCCTTCGAATAATTAGCGTGTACCGTAATAAATGCAATTCATAGACCCCAGTCTTTTTTTGGGGGTTGTTGTAACGGCTTAGTTGCACTTACAGGGGTTACAAACGTTGTAGAAAATATATTTTATTCCCTATGGCACAATTAGGTGCACAACTTGGATTAATATACAGTTTTTTTTAACGTAACTAGCCACTCGAAGTATAGCGCTTCGAAATTTTTGCACCTTTGGACTCCAACGCTTTCGTGATAACAATTTATTTAAATGCGAGTCGTTTAATCTGTTCGTGCAATAACCCGCAAATATTCACGTACGTATTAAAAAAGTAACTTATTTGCACTGTATTTTCAGTTGAACATAAACCCGCCCTCCCTTAGTTTTCGCTACACGAAATTTTCTTTTTGCCTAAAAACCGCCTCCTAATAGTGGTTCTGTTCGAAAGGGCAGCTCCACTGAATGTATAAAGTATACATAAATTCGTTGAAAATAGTGGCACAAACTTCAGTTGCGCGGATAACGATTCTATTCTACGGCTTTGGGTTCGAACTTTTAATTAACAATGAAATTTTACGGAATCTAAAAAAAGGGAGTACACCACACAAAATTCGCCCTAAAAGCTCAGCGAAGAGTTTAGTTTTACGCGTTTACGTAGGTTTGCCCTAAGGTTCGGCTAAGAATTTAATGCGCGATCGAAAAATGTGCCGCTAGATCTGCATAGATACTCGTCGAAGGTTTGAGTAAGAATGCCGCTCTCCCACCTAATTACGTAAGTATTCGCCGAATAGCAAATACGAAAAGATCCCAACGCAAACCAAGCGTTCACACTGTTTTTTATACATGCGAAGGTATAGCCTCTCTTATGCTCCGTAGCGACGGTATATAGAACCGCCAACACTGAAACGATTCGAGTTTTATCTGCTTGAAAACTCGTTTTTTATCTTAACGCGCTTTATTCTCTCGCATATTGGTTCTGTTCTCTTTCATTATGAATCGGAACACGTATACAATTTCCTATATCGGCAATTTTGTAAATTTATCAGAAAATCTTTATAGTCTAAAGCGACTACCTGTTACTATCTCTCTCTCAACAACAAATCTGTATTACCTACACGATTACTCCTTTTTCATAACTTAACATGCCGTTTTGTTGCAATTTCAACTTGGCGTATTATTTATAACTTGCGAGCATAAAAAACTGCACATTTCACAACTAAATTGGTTGCCCGAACGCTATACCTAAACTGTAGCCACTCAGCCGCTTTTTTTGAAAGACAAGTTTATTCTTGCCAGACGGGATGTACATTTTCACGATTTGTTACCCTCTCCCTCCTATTCTTTTTGCTTCGCTATTTGTGCTGAGGAAAAACGGAACCAACGAAATTTACGCGAACCGCGTCCCCTCTAAACCAATAGCTGATTCGCATTTACGTTATCTCGAGTCTGGTAAAGAGAACAGCGAAATTATCGGGACAAATTGTTATCTCTGTTACTTAAGGTAACGGGAACGAAGCTAACATTTTTCATTCTTGTCTTTGTTGGTTTAAATCTATTTAGAAGTTATGAGAACGGTTTCGAATTTTCCAATTCAGTTTGCAGTAATACCTAGGTAGACAATAGTCAAGGGATTAAATTTTGGTCATTTGGACTTTCTGTCCAACCGTCTGTGTTTGTCGATCGTTGTCTATATTGGTTCTGTTTATTTTCGTTACGTTCCACCTATAACCTCTTCTGATGTGCAGTAATGCCTTTAATGCGCACTGTATAAATGAATTGATAATTCAGTGAACGTCCTCTCCCCATTTCAGATAGTACAATTTTCATTATTGTATTTTTTATTCGAATAAGTTTCGATAAAGCTTTAAGGACCTTTGACAGGCCATCGTTTGACGCCAACGAACATCGCGGTGCATTTGATGAAGAAAGGAAGACGTTGCACGATTGGTTGGCTCTTTCAATCAAATTCGTAAGTAACTGACAGTTAAGAAAATGACGCTTCATTTTTAAACTGCAACGCTTTTTGATATTCGAGATGTTATGCGTTTGGGCAGAACATATACCTACTTACCTACATGCTTTTTGCAAAAAGTGCATGTAAAGAAATGTGTAACTTTCTCGTCTACTTACTCGAAAGGAGAGAAAGTTTCTAAATCTTCTCAGCCAAAAGGCGCGGGTAGTTTTTATGTAGTTCAGAATCAAGTGTCATTTCCTTAACTATTTATGACGAGAAACTATTCCAATCTAAACACATTCTAGAATTACACTTTTGCCATACCAGCTTTATTAGTTTGCGGTGGTCAAATCTTGCTCAGCCTCGTGTGGAGAATTGTCAAGTCTAATCCTAAGGATTGGTGGTTGCCTTGGGGTTCAATGAATCTAGTTAATGTACAAGAGAGTCCAAACTTTGAACTTTTATGGTTTTACCAAAGTTTTGCAATTGCAATTTATTGCATCAACATAGTACCAATGGTAATGGTAATTGTTGGAAGCTTAACTTTCCTGACGGTTCAACTGAAGATGCTTCAAAATTATTTGAATAAAATTATGGATATGACCAAACGCCGACCGGTGCAGGTATCTCAATCGTTTCATTGCCGAATAGTGCAGTTCGATACATTTTAGAACACTTCTAACGGCTATGTGCCATCGTGGAAATATTTAAGCGTGTATTTAAAGGATGCAGTTGAATACCACTTGGATATCATCAATGCCGCGAATGCAATAGAAGATGTTCTCCATGGGGTTTTTCTGGCATTTTTTATGTATACCTTAAGTTTCTTGTGTGTGAACATTTACAGAGCGTCCCTCGTAAGTTGCCAGTGTGTGTTTGATTTATTGATATCGCTTTCAGTTAGCAGCAACCAATGTGGAAGTTCTCTTTATTGTAGCAGAATCGTTGATTGTTTATTTTCCCACTTTAATCATCTGCTATTACGGGGAGGAATTGGCCCATTACAGTGAGCAGGTAGGAACCGTTGCGTACCAGCTGGATTTCGTAGGCACCGATCTAAGATTTCAAAAGAGCTTAATCTTAATGATACAAAGAAGCCAAGATACTTTGCAAATCAAAGCGGGACGAATGATCGGCGCCACAATGAACACTGCTGTTTGGGTAAAACTTCTGACAAATTTTTCAATTAATGCAGGCACATCTCGTTCCAGATTATCCGGTCGGCTTTTTCTGCTTACATGATGTTGCGAACTGTTAACACGTAAAATTACGATTATTGGAAGTGCACGTGCACTGCATTTTTAGTTTGAAAAAAGGAATTTAGCTCTATTAAGAACGCCAATCTAGAAAAACAGAGTGTGATTCAACTACTAGTCCAGAGAAGTTACAGCGCTATTTTGATAACTTCAATGAACTACGCCATTTGTTTTAAAATTTTAAAATTGTAAATACTTTTAATGTTGAATATAGGTACTTCGAACTTTATATGTAACGTTTATATGAAACGCACGAATGTTAAAAGGCTAGGGTGAGGAGACGAGAGCCATCAGTTGGTGAAAGTGAATTACTAGTAGTTTACGATCGGCTCGCCAGTGATAAAATATAAAGCATGTTGCGCATACGTCATCTATAATATTAATAGCACTACGAGCATGTTATGATGCTTGTTAACAAACTCCTAGCGATAATTTTGCTGTGTATATCCGCCCGTCCGCCGGTCCGTTAGCACGGTATGAAATTTGATACGTAGGCACTTGGAATAAGAGCAAATATAACGCCAGTTTCAAAATTTGGTTTTGCGCGTGCCCAGTGGCAACTTTTTTAGTTATGAAAGTATTTCAATGAAAGTGAAATTTGATACATACAGTGAGTTTTTTTTAAATGCGAACATAGGAGTGTGCATGCAATTTAATTTCCCTATGTTCGATTTAAAAAAAAACACATCAATCTATGAGGTGTGCGCGGTTCACATTCCCAAATCGCGCAACTTGTGTGACTATGAAAAGCAACTCTATAGTCTTTATGGTGAAGAGCACTCGGTAAGATTTTTTTAAAGAAGCCATGTGAGGCCATAGCAACTTTAGGATACATTTTTCTTAAACTTACGATAACTTGACCTCACAGACCACGCACTGACACCACAACTCATTGTGAACCAACCTTCAATTATTTGTAGGTCATGTGCACCTGGTATTCTACTAATTTGATCTATTCAATACATAAATGAAGAAAATAAGAAAATAAATACCGAAAACAATTACAATAAATGTTCGAAGTGTCCTCCTTGACATTCTAAGCAATAACCTAACCGATTTCGTAATTAAATTTGACGGCGGTATTTTTTAAAATGTGACAGCTGTCAATTGTATCTACTACTCATTTGAACTACTCAATAGATTGATGTGTTTTTTTAAAAATCGAACATAGGGAATTTACATTGCATGCAAACTCCTATGTTCGCATTTAAAAAAAATTCACTGTATATGCACTTGGAATAATAGCAAATCGAACACCAGGTTCAACATTTGGTTTTGCGCGTGCTATAGCCATACACAGGAGCTCGTTTGTTATATTTGTTTACACATAACAACTGACCCACTGAATATAAATGTTATTTGTGTTTTACGTAGTAGTAGCGAAATTTGTGAATCTTTGTATTAGTTATTTGCAAATTCATTCTCATTTTTTAACGTCATAATAAATCTTGTTCATTATATTATGTAATAGTGTGTTTGATTTCAACACCTTCCGCCGATAGTTGCAAGAATTGCGAGATCTGTGAATTTTATATAACGAAAATCAAGAGTCTTGAGTAGTTGTTTAATCATTGTTTAGTTGAGTTGTTGATTGGACTTTTGGTATTGTATTAGCGCCATTCCTCCCAACCAAATTGCAAAACGCAACGAGACTATAGTTACTTTTGTATGATGTCCAATCGATGGCAAACTAGTGTGTGCATGGAGTCTCCTTAGTGTTGGTAAAATTGACAGATGGTCTAAAAAGGATATGTACCTGTGTACCTTTTTATTTTCTTGACAGATTATAAGAATAACTGGGAGAAGAGAATTAAAAAAAAAAGCTGCCTATGAAATTTGGCACACATGCTCGGTGCGGTGCACGCCATGGTGTTACAAAAGTGAACTAAGGAGTATTTTTGAAATATTCGTCGCTTTGTGCTGCCATCCCGAATCCGCGATCCTTATTTGTACTTCGTTAGGTCGCTAACACTGGCATACATTCGATTTTGTGCATTCGTCTTTGCTTGAGATAAAATTAACAAGTTAAAAAGTAATCGTAAACGATTTACATCAAGCGCATTTCCACTAGCATTGATTTCCCATTTGTAAGATGCAACTTCTGTTAAAATCGTAAAAATCCGGCCACAAAAATGAAAGATAGCGTTGCAAATGTGCAATCCATTTTTGACGTGCTACTTCAATTTCAGTTTATAAGAAGAATTTCATTTCAATGCTTTTCTAAATAAGAAAGTTGGAACTGCGCATACGCAAAGCTAAATTTTGAAACTAACGTTAGATTTTCCTTTGTTCCAATACTTTTATAAATAAAAAAGTTTGTAATTTGGATTATAAATGGTCGAGATGCGAAAAGGGCACTGTGAATTTTGAATCGATTCGACTCAACTCTGGGCATTGCGTATTATATGGCTAAAGCTATGCCCATATCAAATTTCATGCAATTCTCTTTATCGTTCACACGGATAGATAGAGGGACAGACAGACAAAGGAACAGACGAACATACCAACAGACAGACGACAGACAGCAATACAAAATTATAAACGATCTCTAGGATCATTAATAAACGGCAAAAGTGTAAAATTATGGAACATGTAAAAAACGGTTTGTTGGTGTTTTTAAAATAACTTTTTTAGCAACAAACGCTGAAAAAATTCCTTCCTTGGTGCAAGCCTCGAAACCATAACGAACCAAATAGCGAAAAAAGTAGAACAATAGCTCTTAAGATAAAGAACTAGTATAGCGTCTCAACGAACGAGCGGACGGACGGACGGACGGACAAAGTGGCCACAATAGCGCTTTTTTTAATTTTTGTGGAAATGCGCTAAAAATGGTCCAGTCATTAGCATTCAACATTGTCGGCAAACAGCTCAGGGTGTAAGCAACTTACTTACTACTAAAAACATGTAACTGATCTTTTAGCAATTCTAAATAAAACGGTTTCAAAGAAAACAGTGCAAACACGAAGCCATTGCCTAACGATGCTTATGAAACAGTCTGCTTTATAAATATTTATAAATCCGATGTACAACTTACTTTAATCTGATAACGAATAGCACGGGCACATATTTTTGTGGTTAATCTGTGGCACGGGGTAAGAAACAACAAGATATTCAAGGCAAAAATCAAACTGTTCGAAAATATGGCAGATAGCACTATACAGGGTGGTGCCTAGCGCAACGCAGCATAGGGATTTCAATGGTAATTTCTTTACAGTCAATTACTAGCTCCCCTAATTATTTTAGAGCAAAAGTCTAAATACGTTTTTTTAGAGAAAAAAATACTGCATCTGTTCATACTTTTTTGCGCGATCGGTCATTTCTGACTATTTACCATGTGTGTTTCCATGACAGTAAGTGGAATTTACCAGTTGCTATGATTACGACGACGCCAAAATTACTTACCGATCTGAAAACAGAACAGCAAAAATACTTACCGACGCCTTTTTAAAAACAATCAGTTCAATGTTAACAGTCTTACATTACATTTAATCTTTAATTTAATCTTCGACATACCATTCGGCCACCGGCAAATACCTGGCTCATAAAGTCATAAAGGAAGTGCAAAGCTAGCAAACTACATCAGACACATGCACAATTTTATGAAATTATTAATTTCAATTTTGACAAATAAACTGGTTACCTAGTGATGTACACCATACCACTTCGATCATTTCGATTTATTCTGCTCGTTAATTTCTTAGTGCATATTTATATTGGTTGAATAATTTTAATTTCGATCGCGCAAAAAATGTTATAAGCACGTCGAACGTTAAGGGTTACCGTTCTCAGACAATAATTGGAGTCGTCGCTCCGCTCCTCCTCCAAACAATTGTCTTCGAACGGTAAAAATCCCTTACCGTTCTCCATACTTAATATACTATTAGTTATAATTTTCCATTTTTCAAAACCGTAGAAATCGACAAAATAAAAAATTACATTTTTAAGTATATATCAGTGATGCTTTGGAATCTTTTAACAAACTACAAGCGCATCGCATCTAGTTTTGGTTGTTTGACGTCAACCGAATTTCATATTTAATTCTGTTACAACTATCCGATGCAAGAAAAAGCGGCAATTGAGTAATGTTTTTTTAGAGAATGTATGCTGCATCTGCATCAGATACTATTTGTTTATCAGAGAGAATCAGAGTACCCACATAATCGAAGAAAAAAAACTGATTTGAAGCAGATTTGTTCCTAAACTTATATTCGGATTTTCCGCTACTGCAGCCAAAACGTTGAATGTATTGTCGTTTTCCTGATGGTTTTGACGGACATTTTGAACGTTATTGCACTTGCAGTTCTTTAACTAATTTATAAACAAGTATAAATTTAATATACTTACGTCAAAGGTAAATAATGAAACGTGATCGCTGTTTTTTTAGGTAATTCCAAGGCATATTTGATTTATTGTAAAATGAACCTTTTTATTTTGTCGATTTCTACAGTTTTGAAAAACGGAAAATTATGAGTAATACCATGAACAGATTCAGTATTTTTTTCTCTAAAAAAAACTTAGACTTTGCTCTAAAATAATTAGGGGAGCTAGTAATTGACTATAAAGAAATTACCATTGAAATCCCTATGCTCATATGCTGCGTCGCGCTAGGCACCACCCGGTATATCAAAGCTACTTATTTTTACAAAGAAACTGCAAACTGCAAAAGAATAATTGGCTATTGGTCGTATAATTTTTTTCGAAGACAATTGAGGTAGATGAGGTGACAAAATAAGGAAAATATTATGATACTTTCAGTTTTTTTTTCCAAAACTAGTCTCGAAAATTGATAATTCTGACACTAGAGTAAAACAATATCTATCAGACAAAAAATAGTTCAGAGTATTGCAAAGGTTCTCCGCTAGGGTACGTAGTTGAAATTGTGTGCAATCTGAATACCTTTGATTATAAAATAGATTTACGGTTCTTATGGACATGTCGGATCAGTAATTTTTAGTTAGTGGTTAGTGCTTTTTTGTACAGAAATCTACTCGCTAGATGAAATAAACTAACGCTTTGTAGTTATGCTATTTGCATATACAGGCATCTGTTGTAAGCTGGTTTGCATCATTGGTAGTTGATACACGTACACTACATACGTCATGTTCAAAATTCAAAGTCGTAAATAACGAAATCTGAGACATCGTTTATTTCTTTCTTTTGGGTTAGATATTTATTACAACTGATTTCAATGGCATTTCTTTATATTTCTCGGCTAATTCATTTCCAGCAAAGTTGTAAATCGGTTTTAACTTGGGCACCAAGCGTACCGTACTGTCTTTTTTAGAGTCTAACAGGTAAATGTTTCTTATAATTTCGCTTGATATGACAGCACCATCCAAATTAAAATCACTATTAAATAAGTTATTACGAAAATTTTTTAACAAGTGGGGAGCATCAAATAACCCGAAGATATTGCGTTGTCGCACCGTAAAGTAGGGACTCTCTGATGATACTCCTAAAAGTTTGTACGCTTTTTGATTGGACATCCCTTGATCACAAACTGAAGCCACAGGCACTAATCCGGAGTTCAAGCAATTCTCAATAACATAAATTAAAATGTCTTTGATTTCATGGCCGCTTAATCCATTTTTTGAAACGTAATATGCAAGAGGCAATTTCCAATTGGCGTATCCTCTTGCTAAAAATACCGCGGTGTATCTAGCTAATCTATCTTCTCTGCCAAATTTACCCTTATCTTCAAATCCTTCGATTAGATCCATATATTTGTTGTATTCCATCGATACCTTCAAACTCATCTCATCGAAGGAAATGACGCATTTTCTTTCCATTGCAGACATGCTTTTGGAATGCATTTCGATGGACTTGAAAAGATGGTTATCCCAGTTTCGTATCTAATGGCAGATATCCAATTTCGCACCGTACTGATGTTGGCCAGATTAATAATGCCCGCTAGGAATTTATACGCGCTTGGAGACTTGTAGTAGAGAGCCATACAAAAATTTTTTTCTTTCACCGACCACTTTTTTTATTATACAACTGCATATTGATTAATGTTCTGCTGTACTTTTTCCGGAACGTTATGGTGTTTAAAGCTAAGTGTACACTATTAACTTTTTTCAAAAGAGTTTTTCTTTCTTAAATTTTTTATAATTGCGCACATACCACAAATAACTTTATTTTGTTTAGAAATAATAAGTTTCTGTTTTTCCACCATGTCTTTGAGTGATTGTATCTTTGAACCACGGAATAGTTGTGCAGATAATGGTTGAACTTTTAATCTATCTGGCAAATCTAAACTTTCTTGGAGAAATATTTTGTCACTCTCTTCAACTGATCTGGACGAACTTGCAAACGATAAATCTGGTGACTGAGTACGGGCACTAATCCAGTCATATTTCCTAGGTATGGCATCACTTTTTAGTTTATTTTTGGAGGTATTGGTGAAACAGTCGTCTTCAAAATGGCGAGAACATAATTTCTTGGACGCAATCTCGTTCTGCATCGATGGTACCAAGCTGGCATTGCCTGATAATGAAAGTGGGAAATTAGCCATAATGTCCATTATGTTATGTAGCAGTGACAGATCTAGAAGCATTTGTGCCGTGCATTCTAAGCCTATGTTTAAGTGCAAAAAAATCCCTTTTAATCCTTTTAGATTCGCCCTCGTGTACCTTTATAAATGAGGTACCTAAAATATTCAAAATAGAGGTACCAATTTCCAGACAGCTAGCTATTTTATATAATGCATTTTCTGATTATTACAAAAACATATAATTAATTTTGTCACCAATTTGAATGAAAGAACAAAGAAGGCAAAAGAATGAAAACTGTCTGATATCTTGATAAACATATATCCAATTAAAACAATGTGCTTGATACCGCATTCTGATATCTTTAGAAACTTTTTCGTATCTGTGATTATTGTTCAGAAAAAATAAATGAAAACAATGTTCGGTACAGGTAGCTAAATGAAAGTAAAATCTTTAAAATGGGTCAGTAGACCCTCGGTTTATTTAGATACCTACTTAATTCTTTGTTTTGCATTAGTTTTAAATTTAGGATGTTCTACCATTACTTAACGATTTGTATAACAAAAGAGATTTCAGTAAAGGCGTCGAGTTTTATTTTTGTCGTACTTTTACTAAAACAAACTAACATAAAGAGCGATTATTTTAACAAAAATTTAGTTAAAATTGGTTCAGAAATAAAGCAGGGTGCGAAAAGTTCGCCCATGCTATAGGCATAATATTATGCTATAGGTATAAGCGCTATCCAATGTTTAATCTCTGGTGCGGAGCATCTTTCTTCTTCAAACAATTCACCCGTAATGTAACAAATCCCTAATAACCCAACTTATTACATAAAGTACCTATACATTTTTGTATTTTCATTCATATTTGATTCGCTAAATATTTCAAATTGATAAAACACGTTCGTTGCAATAAATCCTATTGGCAATAGGATTATACTGCAGGCAGACTACTTATCAATGAGATATCTACAGATAAAAGGGGTAAATACAATAAATTAGAAATGTATACGCAAAATGTATTGAATTGTTAAATAAGTTAAAACGTTGTTAAAAGTAATCGTAAATAACAAA